CTTGGCGCAGCTCTTGATAAAAAAAAAGAAAAGAAAGATATGGAATGTCTGGGACTTTGAAAATAAACCCAATTTATTCTTGCATGTGCTTTGATGATGCTCGTTTGTGTGAAAGCATAAACGTTGCCATGACAGAAGCAGATTCTTTTGTAGTGCGAGCTTAGAGCTTAAAGTATCATTCTGAGAATATATAGGCTACGTAGAATCTGTTTTGGAAGCTCTTTCTTAAGTTAAATAGATGGTCACTGAAAAGAAATTTTATGGTTTAAAGAAGTAGAGCCTTGATTATTTGAAACGTACGAATTACGAAAATAGATTTTTATCTTAAATTATGGTTTCAAGCACTTGATTTATTTATCGAACATTTATTTTATTTTAACTGAGCAGAAATTTAGTATTTTAGATATTACGTATTTGATATAGATAAAAGTATACGTATTTGGCAAAATAAAAAATTAATTTTAAAAAAAATTGTTTAAAATTGGTGCAATTGATTTTCCCACATTATAAATTCAATAGATAACACACGTTCTACTAATTCATTCAAGAAAAGTGAAAAGTTTCAACGTTTAATTAATTAAAAGTGAAGCTATTAAACATTTAGAAACCGTAATTAGGAATATCACTTTCACGTAACATAATTTTTCCTCCATCCTCAAATACTGAATGAAAGAAACACAAGTCTGCAACAAGAAATGTATGATAGCACCGAAGTGTTGACGCATACAGAAGATATAGGAAAAATGACAGGTACCAAAGAAATAAATAATGGACTACTGGACAAAGAGTAATTGGAACTTTGCTCACCCCATTTATATTTTGAAGCAATGGATATTACCAAGCGTTTTCCGCAATATTTGCCACCACTGCTCCATGCATGTTCTAGCTCAGATAAAGGACTTTTTAGATAACCGAGGCAAGTAATAAGTAATATAAATAAAGGTCATTTATAAAATATTTTAGGTAACTGAAAGTTTTCTTTTTTTTCACTATTTTCATCAAAACTTTGAGGTAGCAGAAATTACGGAACCTACATATACTCAAATAGAAGTTTTGCTAAGTAAAGTAATTTATTTTGATATTTGAAACCAAGTATTACTACTGTCTTAAAATAATCTCACAAAAAGATCTGGCATAGGCTTGAAACTTGCAGCCGTTGGATATGGCAGTTAAAGGACATTGAATCAGCAACACAGTCTTCAGGCTATAAAACTGAAGGCAGTTTTACGGCAAAGCATTAAAGTAAAGCTCCCGAACTAGGTCGATCACTCTCAAGCTAATCTCTGAACTCAAGACACTCTTTTCTCCCGTAGAAGTAGGGTATATGTAGCTATATATAATAATAAAATATAGCTATATATATAAGCTATATATGTAAGCTATATATATAGCTTTAACCTAACTTCGCAAATATTCTCGAGTAAAGCACTAAAAATGTGTTCTATAATGTTCTTGCTCCGTCTATGACATATAGCCGATTTTGCCGCCAATTATCGCCAAATAAGTGATTTTGAGCTAAACCTAGCAAATCTGCCTTTGCCTGTCACTTTCTGGCAACCATAATCTAGTTTTGCTTTGCGGGAATCTCTCTAACCACTCAACCGCTTGGCATTTCGTAACAATATAAAGTGACATTATCAGGGAAGCGTAATTCATCTTTTGATGCAAGTGGACTTTCTTTCAACCATTCGGAGCGAGTTTGCATTTGAGAAAAGAAATGCCAGTTTCCTTTATCCGAACAAATACGTTCATTTGTACTTATATGAAGACTTTGACCTCGCTGTTCTCTCTGACTGAGGTGATTCTACTGGGTTAGCGTTTTACATCATTGACACTGTCCGATATGACGCGAGGATAGTATGTTAATAGATACACTGAATTCCTCATAACCACCTCCCAGTTAACCTGCAGTATCAAAATAACGGCACTTATAAAGATCTACAATTTTTAGGTTTATAGAATAGGCTATATATATATATATATATATATATATATATATATATATATATATTTATAGTTAGAAAACTTTTTATATACCATCTCAAGGATCAGAAATTCAATTAAAACCATTGATTATTAAAAGAAAAATTTTTTTCCAGGAATTTGTTTCGTCTAGGAATATGCTTATTTGATCAAATTTCCGTATTTAGAGTAAAATAAAATCGAAGATAGAAACTGTTTTAAGGATTTTAAATCAATAATTTTGACATTTAAAATTAATTTTGTAAATGTTGAATTTAAAGCGAGTAAATAAAACTGTGTGAAAATTAATCAAGATTTTAGATGTTTCTACATTATTATAAAAATCAAGTGGGCCTACAAAAATTATATGTGCTACTATATTACGTTTATTTTTTGTAATAATCGTTGTTAATAATTTTGAGATGTCAGGCTGAAGGTTTTTTCGACTCATGTTTATAATTATGCTTTTTATAAAAAATTATAATATCCATGGTAAATGAACGAGATATACACGAAAAACAAATTAATCGGAAAGCAGCGAAATGTACCATGGATATATTATTTTTCGCTTATGAAAGATATATTTGCTTATTCAAAGAAAATACGAGCTTTCACTGGTTTTATTCAAAATTATTTCTCTGATAAATCGCAAGCTTCTGCTTTGCATTTATTATCTTATAGTACATTTTCAAATCATTTGAATTTAGAAATGTTACTTTAACTATTATGAAAAGATTGAGTCTTATAATAAAAGCATAAGTTACTTTTGTTTTAAAAAGACGTAGTTAATTAACATTTACATGAGACTTTTCTATCATGTGGTAATAACCATGTGATAGTACTGCGTTTCTCTCAGTACTATCACATTTCGACATACATAATTTCGATTCGCAAGCTTTTCCAAGCAGTCCTTGTTTTAAATCTCAAGGGTACGTGAGAAAAACAAATTTGTTAGATGTTAGATTTTTAATTTATAGTTTGCTTTTCGTGCATTTCTGAGATTCTTAGAAATGCATTTGATGTCATGTATTGTATTTTCATATTCTTAATAAACATTTTATTTGAGCTATGCTCCAAACGGTTATATTTGTAATTCTTTTACCAGTATTAAGCATCACTGTATTCGTGTATATATATATATATATGTAAAAGGATAATTCGGGAGGTAAATCTCGCATATTATAAATATATATACGAGGGCTGTCTGAAAATTTACCGACCTCAAAAAGTAGATGGCAACTCAAATCAATCGTAGTGGAGGCTTGTTTGGGCGTCACTTGATAACTACCAATTAAAGTTTAAACGATTTAGATAGTTGATTTTTTGTTTGACAATTACTTTTGTGAGTTGATGTGGCTGTTTTTGCAAAAATGGAAAAAAATCGAGTATCATGCTGTCATTGTATAGCTGTTTTTGAAAGGTAATACGCCTATTTAGATTAAAGAGGAGTTGGACACAGTGTACGAGGACTTTGCAGCATCATTTACTTCTGTGAAAGTTTGGGCAGCTAAATTTAAACGTAGGCGTACCAGCTTGGCTGACGATGTACGTTCAAGAGACGGCCAAAACTGCAACCACTGAAGTACCAAATGCGCTAGAACCATCGCTAAAAAACACCAAATGATGCTGACGACCATAGAAATCACGGTAAGAGAGACATCAGAGGCTATTAGCATGTCCAAAGAACGTGTTTGCCACATATTGAACCAAGATTTAGATATGCGCAAGCTGGCTGCACGTTGGGTGCCACATTTGCTCATTTTAGATTGAAAACAAATTGCACCTTTCTGTTGACGCAATAAATCGGAGTTTTTTCGACTTTTAATCACTGTAGATGAAACCTCGAAACATCATGGCAACCCAGAAGCAAATACACAGTCAAAACAGTGAACTGAAGAGGCAGAATCGGTTCTAAAAATTGCCAAAATGATTCCTTCTGCTGGGAAAGTGATGGCAGTAGTTTTCTTGGACAACCATAGGAATATCTCAATAAATTATCTTAAAAAGAGAAAACCATTACCGAGGCTTACTATGCAACGTTACTTGACAAGCTGAAGGCAGAAATTAAGGAAAACGGCCACATTTGCAAAAAAAAAAAAAAAAAAAAAAAAAAAAAAAAAAAAAAATGTTTCTCCAAGACAGTGCTCTATCTCATACCTCAACTGTTGCAATAGCGAAAATCCGTGAATTATAATTTGAACTGCTGGACCTCCCATCCTATTCACCAGACCCGGCACCAAGTGTTTCTGTTTCCTGAGCTAAAAGCACTTGGAGTACAAATATTTTTGTCAAATGAGGAGACATTACAGAGAAAGATTCCCCATATTATTTGGGCGGTTTAAAAGAATGGGAGCATCGCTGGAAGAAATGTATAGACTTACAAGGAGACCAAATCGAAAAATAAAGGTAATTTTGAAGAAAAAAAATATTGTTTTCCTCTGTTAGGTCGGAAACTTTAAGATAGCCTACGTATATATGTATATACACACGCGCGCGTCTATATCTATAGATACAGGGTCCGTCAAAAATGTAAACACATTTTAACGGAAGCAAATTCTTTATTTATTGTGTGTTAAGACATAAGTTAATTGTAATTTAATATAATCTAAGTATTATAAATTTAATCATACATTTACACCAGATTTAATACAACCATCCTATAACTGTACTGATCCTTACTCAAAGTGTCTAAAGGATGGCCAGATACATAGCACAGCAGTGAGCGGTTGTATGAACAAATGTAGTCGATGATTAATAGTTGGGATTTCTGCATATAGAGATCTAATTTTTTTAACGAGTGACTAACCGATTTCTTGCTCTACACGGCCTCTTTCAAGGTTGCTCAAAGCAAATTTGATATATTATTGTACGCCATACGTCACATATTGCGTTTATGAGAGTACCGACAGGTGCTGGGCAAACACCGTGCTGCATATCGTTATGATAATTCAATTCAACCTTGAAAGCAATCTTTGGATACCATCTGTTCACATTTTCTGAACACATGTATAGATATATTATACATACATTCTGCGCGTGTGTGATATTTCTCTGTATTTGCGACAGTGTATACTGCTAATGCACCTCAACTTATATATGTGTACATGTGTGTATATATGCTGATAGCATATATAACTGTATTTCAGCCCTGTCATCAATTATGCATGATTAAAAACCTAAATTAAGGTAAATTAATAAAAGTAAATTCTGTCAAAACTGCTATAGAAGGTCATTACTGGAGATAAGGTAGAAAAAATATTATTTACTGATGAACAAAAATGAAGATATGTTATTCATTATGTAATAATGTTTTTCAGTCACATGTCATTTAATTTATGATAAAATTTCACATATTAATACAGAATATTTTCTTTTGCAGTGTTTTATAACGTAACGTGTGGTTCGGATACAATGCAAGTAATTCTCAATCTTACCACCCATCCATCTTCAATGGTTTATCTACAAAACCTCAAGGGGTATCCAGGTAATTTTTTTTTAATTACTCTCAGTTTTTTTTCATTACCAGAATTGTAGCTAAATAACTGTATCAGTAGTTTAGTATTTTCCTATTTTTATTTCGTAAAAATTTTTAATTATCAGTAATCAGCAATATTAATCGTTAAATAAGCCTTAAAATTAAATCAGGCTTTCAACAAAAGTTTATTCTGATCACCTAACGAGCTCAAAGCATATACCATATTAATTTGAATACAGAACAATGATTCTGTACGTCTTAAATTAACTGTAAATCATACGTTAGTCTTACATAGTTTAAAAGTCAGCCAGTGAAGATATATTAACAGTCAATTAAAAATATATTAACGATCAATTTAAAGCTATACTATAACAATTATCACCACATTCCTTTTTTATACAAACACTACATAAATAAATAAAATTATTTACATTTTTCTTAGGTTGCAATAATTATCTTTTTAAGTTGCTATCCTTCTTTCCTTGGTTCGTAATGTACTTCCTCAGATTAAAAGTTTATGTAAACTGAATACCAAGCAGCATTCTTTAACAGTAGGAAGCTAATCATAACAATGAGATGAGCGGATTTTACGTCCTGCCTATAAAAATCGCCTTTGTAGCAGTGAAAGAGTTGCCAAAAGGCTTGGTTGCGCTCAACAGCACGAAACAGCTCAGCAGCTAACTTGGAATTTCTTCTCTTAATCTATAATTTTTCTAAATTAAATGTACCTCCTTGAAACCTGCATCTGAAAATTAGCTGGTTTAGCTCTCAATAATGTCTGCGTCACCAAAAGTGTAATTAACAATATCTTGGGTAACTTAAAAACTGGAAGATCAAAATTAAAAAAAATATATACTGTCATCACTTGTATAAAAGAATAAAATTCCTTTTGTTTTACATGTTCTTTTATAGAAAGCATTTCCAGATAACTGTATAGATAAGGAGCCCATTTAAAAACTTAAGTTTTTCACATTTTTACTAAAGGTATCACTCAATCAAAACTCTCATAATCTGAAGATCTATTGCCTTTTATTCATTTGCTAAATTCGAATAACAGGTCTTGGCCAAACGTTTCAAAACATGTTACTGGAAAAATGTTTTGACGTACTGTATTACCATTTCAAATGTCTGCAGTAAATGGTATCTATATAGATCACGTTTTGCATATTTTACTTCACCCACCAAAATATTATATTTTATAGTTAGTCACTGTATTTAAAACTTACACACGTAACACATGTACTATTAATGGTCTGATACTAAGATAATCTGATACGAATAATCAAAAATATGATGTTTTGAGTATGAGAAAAACTTATATATAGAAAAACCAGTTCGCATTAAACATTGTCAGCACCTTTCATCAACATATCTTGTTAAATGTGCGAGATTTAAGTACTTTGCAGGATTTTTTAGATTTTTAACCAAACTTATAATATATTAAATAATTATAACATTTATCAGGCTTCCAAGTTTTCCAATAAACTTTTTGGATCTCTTGGTAGTTCGCCTTCATGTGGCTAAGATGTTTAAGCATGGTATGGCTAATAATTTTCTGAAAATTTTTAATTTATGGATTTAGTCAAAAGAAAATACGATCCAGTATTAAATGATATAAAGGCTCAGTGTAACAAGGTGGTGATGATGAGTTGAGCGTTACGCCCCCCCCCCAAAAAAAAGAAACATGGAGTAGTGTAAAACAATAATCAAGAAAGTAAAAATGTGAACTAAAATAGAAGAGTTCCATGTTATATATTTGAGTTGTAATCCAGAATAAACATAAATAAATAAAAATTAGCAAACTGATTAGCCAAATCATTCAAATTTTGCTAATCGCGTCTGTTTGGCTAACTTAACAGGTAATCCCTGGTTAGGTTCACATTGTTCAGAGCGAATTTTCGTTTTAATTTTTGGTATAAACATATGACATAGATGTTGACTGAATATAGAGTATAACTAAAAACTTTAGTGAATTACATTTAAATTCATATCAGAATTTACTTTTGCCGAAATTTAAAAAGAGTTGCAAATAAATTCTATCCAGGTTAAGGGGTTAGCAATATCCGAAGCGTAAGTTTACAATATCAACTAGCATACATTTATAAAACTAGCACATTATACTACGAAATTTAATTTAATATTTTAATTAACAAATTGGCTAGAGAATTAGTACATTTATGTTTGATCAAGTCTCACGCTAAATTACAAATCTACGCAGCAAAGTCTCAACTCTTACTGCAGTAATAACCAATAAAACAATTAGTACACCTCATAATTTTCTTCTCTGTATGAAAGAGAAGGCAAAAATTAGCTTCAGACCGAAGCTGATTTTTGCCTGAAGGTCTGAATGAGGGTGCTTCAGAAACGCATGAATACTTAGAATGACTTAATTGAAACGATAACTTCTAGTCAAAGTCTTGTAATATTACCATTCAGTGAAAACTAAATGGCATTAAGGATAAAAAATAAAATAAAACTACATTTTCAAGAAATCACTTGAAACAAATTTTTCGAAAGTTTTAAAATGAGCATTTGATAATATTGCAAAATTAATGTAAATATTTCTCTCTCGTCAACTAGCTGCCGCACACAAAGCTTTGAATAATCCCTTCCCAAGACAGCGTTTTCACCACCTGTTCAGCACAACATACAATGTTCACTTCGTGTATAATATACATTCATAATAGATTGCAGTCTCTGTGTGTGAGCTTTGGGTTATCTGCATTGTAACGTGATTTATGCTTGCGGAATTACACTACGATATTTAGAATACTGATGAACGTATAGATATAATAGAAAATTGCAAATTCATCTCCGGTAAAAGCATTTATAACTGTTGAAATGAGAGTCTAAATTATCAGTTTCATATTTGGAGTAATACGTGACGTACCGCAAAGCCTAGAGAGTTTTCAAGGATCAACATATAGGGTCTCTCAGAGAGGATGGTGGGATATTACGAGGTATCTGTGAAGTATGTATTATATGAAATGGATACATTTAATTCAGTATCTCAAAAGGGTTTTGTGCATGTATTTTTATTATGCGTAAGAAATGCAAATGGAAGATAAGCTCTTGAATCAGTTTCAATGCGAACTTGCACATGCTACATATCTTTTTGTTTCCTTAAATAGAATAAATGAAAGAGGAAGATGCAGAGCTATTCGTCCTGCAGCAATATACAGCACCTTCTCTTGAGTTAAGTGCGAAACGAATGTAACCGTTTGAAGGATGGTGGCCTGGAAGAAACTCTAATCTCCCCCCACCAAATATTTTCTGTGATCATGGTGTCAAAACGGAAGTTAAACGGAATTAATAATAGTGATCATATCAAGAAGGGAACCGCGAAAACAAGTGCATGGGTTATATCATGAATTTTTGAGAAAATATAAATTGAAACTCAATATCACTATAGTGGTCTGCTATGATTTTAATGGTCAAAATAAAGACATAATTAGGCTTTTGATTTCGGAGCAGAAGATTCGAAAAATGTGCAGTGCCCTCTTCGGAGCTTGAACTTACAAAATCTGATTGCTAGCCGCATATGCTTTCCAAATACATGTAACCCTCGTATAACACAGTAGATAGGTTCCTAGAAAACGCCGTGTTGTGTGAAACCGTGTTGTATGAGACACAGAGACAGTACAAAAAGGGGGGAGGAGGTTACGTTCCGAAAACTTATTAAAAACAAATCATTTTTTAATTCTACATAAATAACTTAATTTTTACTAAAATATGTACGTATGTACAAAGCAAAATATTACATATTTTAATTTAACGCAACTTTAGTTTAATAAATTTCTTCGTCGTCATTGTTCAGTATAATCCACAGAGAAAGTTTTTTCGGTGGAATGAGATCACCTTCACTTTCAGAATTTCTTTCTTCATTTAAAGTTCTGGCATTTTCTTCCCTCTTTAAAAATCTGCAACTTTACTTTGCTTACTAGTTCTTACTGGATCATTTTAAGTTTCTCGATGTAGAGCTAAACAGTTTTGCAGCTCCCTTTTGAATTTTCAGCTTATTTCAGCGGAAAGATCTGCACTCAAAAAAGTAACTCCAGATTTTCAGATAAGCGTAAGCTTTCTTTTAATTTTTTAAATGTTAAATTATTAACTTTACAATCTTCATACACAAACTTCACATGTCCTCAGAAGCGATTTGATTCACTGCTTCGGATGCCATTTCTACCAAATCATCGTCAATTTCTTCTTCCGCTAATAAATCTTGAAAGCCCTCAATAGCCATGTTAACAAAATCTTCGCCTCCGATTGATTTAGTAAGTTCTAATATGCCATCAATTTCCTTTTCTGACGATTCACGCACGTTTTATATTTCAACTGAAAAGGGATATATCTTCTTCTAACGTGCTTTTAACGTTGATGCTTTCAGTTCTTTCAGCGACAAAGATACGATGTCGATTCAGTTCTTAATTGAAAATGTCTTCCAAGCTTCCATTACATTAACTGATTTTGAATCGGTTACGTCTAAAATCTACTGTAATGCTCTTCTTATGTAATATGTTTTAAAGGTATAAATAATACCTGCATCCAATGGTTAGAGTAACGAAGTAGTATTAGGTGGTAGGAACAGTATTTTGACATTGAGATGATTCAAATCTTGTGGGTGACATGAAACATTATCTAATAATATTAAGCGCCTTTAAGCTTAAATTTTTCTGCCTTAAATAACGTTCAGCGTCTGGCACAAAAATTTAAACACTAATCTTTAAATATATTCCCAGCTACCCAAGCTCTTGGAATTGCTTTCCAATATACCGGTAAGGTGATTTTTTACGCCTTTAAGCGCACGAGGATTTAAATATTTATAAACTAACAAGGGTTTTGTCACAAAGTCCGCCCCGCATTCCTGCAGAAAATTGGCGTTATACAATTTTTAGAGACTGTAAATCCTGATCCAGATTTTTGTTTTCGATATAAAGGTTCTACTGGCATTTTTACCACTAAAGTCCAGTTTTTTCTGCTGTGTATCCTTGTTCTTCCATAATATTTTC